CCGACGCTTGGGGTCCCCCCTCCAGCACCCAGGGGTGCTCGGGAGCCCGGGGGAGGTGGCGGCTCCCATTTGGATCCAAGCCCCAAAACTTTCCAACGGCTCCGGTGTTCGTCACCCCCCTCCGCCCCCGTTCCTGCCTTCCCGGGGGATAATTTGGCCCCCGCGGGGTTGCAGGGCTCCCAGTTTGCTCCCAGTTTGTTCCCAGTACCTTTCTGGACCTTGTCGCAGAGCAGGTAGAGCTCCTCGCCGCCCGTACAGGGACCGCTCTCCTTGTTCATCCGGCAAATCCGCAGCTCCGAGGTGTTGGTGGACTCTGCGGGCAGCGGCACGGCTCAGGCTGTGAGCCGGCGGCTTCCAAACCGCCCAAGGCATCGCACCGGCACCGGGCATCCAACCGGGATGGGGCACCGGGACCAGGCTCGGGGATATTCCCGTCGGGATCGCCTCTTCCCGACCAGCCATCGCACAAGGGTTCCAGCCCCGTGGGACCAACCCCGGCCAAATCCCGCACCCTGAGCCGAGCCCCGGCGAGGAACCGGCTGCCGCAGCCCCACCACCCACCCCCTCCCCCCCGGGCCCGGCCCCCGCGGGGAACCCGCCTGCCGCAGCCTCACCACCCATCCCATCCCGGAGCAGGGAGGGTTCTGGTAGCCACGGTGGCCACGAAGCCCCCCCACAACCACCTACTCTTGTCGAAAATGGGCTCCGAAAGCACGGGGTTGAGGTGCCGCGTCTGCCCGGAGCTGTCCTTGTAGGAAGCTTGGAAGCAAATCCTCACCACATTCATGTCCACCTCCTGATGGTTCTTGAGGGAACCGGCTGGGGGAGCGGAGAGGGGACGCTCAGCGGGCGCGGGGACGGTCCCACGGGATCCGGATCCCCCGCGCCGATCGGGACGGCTCCGCTTGAGCCCTCCCCTCACCTTTGAAGGGGTCGATTCCCAACTGCAGCTTCTTCTCTATCGCCGCCTCGATCTCCTTCTTCTTCACGCACTGGATGCCCAGGTTGCTAAAGCTGCCGCGGAGCAGCGGAGAGGGGACGCTCAGCGGGCGCGGGGACGGTCCCACGGGATCCGGATCCCCCGCGCCGATCGGGACGGCTCCGCTTGAGCCCTCCCCTCACCTTTGAAGGGGTCGATTCCCAACTGCAGCTTCTTCTCTATCGCCGCCTCGATCTCCTTCTTCTTCACGCACTGGATGCCCAGGTTGCTAAAGCTGCCGCGGAGCAGAGAGGTGCTGCGGGGGCGGCTCCCCCCACCCGAATTCCCAGGGGATCCAAGGCCCCTCCCAACCTCCCGCCGCCCAGGAAACCCCCCAAAAACCGCGCCGGCGCCGCTCCCTGCCGACGGCGGGCCTCCGCCCCCCGCCC